TGTATTTAATAAAATCACTTTTTACTTATTAATTAACTCAGAGTATGTATTACTACCTGGGAGTGGTAAGCAGCTGTGCATATCTCTCTATTAGTGTTAAAAACGGATTTATTTGGGGTTTGGACCCCATTGGGAGTTGGACATCTGAGTGTTAAAGACAGGAACACTTCTGTAAGTTGTTTTCAGTTATGTCTGCAGCTTTGGGACAAGTAATTCAGACCCTGGATCTGTGTTGGAGCAGATGGGCATGTCTGGCTCAGCAAGACAGGGTGCTGGGGTCCCAAGCTGGCAGAGGGAAATCAGGGGCAGAAGTAGCCTTGGCTAAAAGTTGGCAGTTCCCAAGGGGGTTTCTGTGATTCAACCTGTCACACTGGGCAATTTGCAAATTGTGTAGTTCTAGCTTCTTCTGATCTTCATTCTTACTTATTTTGCTTCCTTTTCTGTCCCTACTTCCCTTACCCAAAATACGCAAACATAAAATAACAAACCAGTAACCACTTTGTCTGTTCTCCAGCCACCACACTTAAAATTCATTTAAAATCACTACCAGTATCTCAAAACAATCAGCTGTGCACAGATCCTGCTCGACTACACCACTGTGATGGGTTGGATCACAGATCTTGGCCAGATCTTCAGATAGTGTAAACTGACCCAGCCTCACAGGCTTCAAAGATTTGTGCCAATTAAGACCTGTGTGATAATGCACTGGACTAGCGGTCTCATTGTCATCGGTGAGGAGCACTCACTCTCCTGCTCAATGGAAGTGACGAGCGCTCTGCTCCTGTACAGTCACATCAGGAGTTACTTTGCACAGGGGAATTGGGAACAATCCCTCTGTCACTGTAATCCTGCCCATTGCCCTTCTCCTTCCCTCCACAGGCATCACACAACGTGCTGAGGAAGAAAATGTCCAATCAAACTACTGTGACCGAGTTCTTTCTGCTGGGATTGTCTGACATTCAGGAGCTGCAGATTTTGCACTTTGTCATGTTTCTGGTGATTTACTTGGCAGCCCTGATGGGAAACCTTCTCATCATCATAGCCGTAGCCCTCGACCACCATCTTCACACCCCCATGTACTTCTTCCTGGTGAATCTGTCCATCCTAGACCTCGGCTCCATCTCTGTCACCATCCCCAAATCCATGGCCAATTCCCTCATGAACACCAAGTCGATTTCTTCCCAAGTCTTTTTCTTCCTCTTTTTCATAGGAGCAGATTTTTCCCTTCTCACAGTCATGGTGTATGCTCGATACATTGCCATCTGTCAGCCATTGCACTATGAGAGAGTGATGAACATGGGAGCTTGTGTACAAGTGGCAGCCAGTGCCTGGGCCAGTGGCATTCTCAATTCTGCACTGCACACTGGAATCATGTTTGCAATATCCTTCTGCAGAGGCAACATGGTTGATCAGTTCTTCTGTGAAATCCCCCAGTTACTCAAGCTCGCCTGCTCTGACTCCTACCTCATTGAAACTAGGCTTCTTGTCTTTAGGGCATGCTTATATTTAAACTACTTTGTTTTAATAATTGTGTCGTATGTTCAGATCTTCAAAACAGTTCTGGGAATCCCCTCTGAGCAGGGGTGGCTTAAAGTCTTCTCTACCTGCCTTCCTCACCTCATTGTAGTCTCCTTGTTTATTTGCATTGGCACATTTGCCTACCTGAAACCCACCTCCAGGTCAACGTCGGGTCTGGATCTCGTGATAGTTGTTCTCTATTCTGTGGTGCCTCCAGTAATGAATCCAATCATCTATAGCATGAGAAATAAAGAGCTCAAAGCTGCCATGAGGACAGGGTGGAGATTATTCACTGAGAATAAAAGGTCCATCTTTCTCCTGTGACTGTCATTTCATTGTGTTGCTATATAAATGGAATCAATAGATGACATTAGTTTCTTCCTGAGAACATGGGAGGGATAGCTCAGTGGTTTGAGTATTAGCCTGCTAAACCCAGGGTTGTGAGCTCAATCCTAGAGGGGGCCATTTAGGGAGCTGGGGGGAAAATAGTTGGGGATTGGTCCTCCTTTAAGCAGTAGGTTAGACTAGATGACCTCCTGAGGTCCCTTCCAATCCTGAATTCTATGCTTTGCAATGTCTTTGCATGCAAAGGGGTATTTAATTGGCAAAAATGCAGACAAACTCAAGTTAGTAGAGTTACTGTTGATTTACATGAGTGTTAATTCAATTGTAATGTATTTATCTAGCTATGTATCTATCTTGGATTTTTCTACTGCCACCCATCCCCATGTTTTCTGAGCACCTTTCACATAAAATCAGTAGCCAGATCAAAGTCCCTAATGGACTTCATGAGCTGCCTGGGTCTTCTCCATTTGGAGGTATGAACTCTGCTTGGGTCATGATGGCTGTTGGTTTATTGTTTGTTTGTGTAACTCAGTGGGATATGACCGTGTGAAATCATAAACTGTATCAGTGGAATTATTGGCATGCTGACAGCACAAGTCTGCTGTTTCTCAATGGCAGTGTATTGGGCTGCATTCCAGACAATTGCCCTGCCTGGAAAAGGCGTTTGACACCCCATTAAAGGATCACCACTGACAGCCATCAAAACTAGACTTTAGAGTCATTGATGTTTATTGTCTCTCAGTGAATACTCTCCTCCTCCCCATGGAAAAAATGATTGGATGGAGAATGGAACATCACAGTTTGAATCCATGCCATGGAGACAGGGGCCTGTTAAACAGGCCGGTTCTGCTCCGTGCAGGGATGGGCCGATCATGGACACACATAAGAAGGACAGGAAGGAGCAACCCAGACCAAAACTCTGATGAACTTCTGACTTACAGACGGGGTGAGAACAGTCCAAGTAAGAGGGCACCTCATGACTCTGTTGTTTTTGCATAGTATCTAACTCTTCTGTGCTTTCAGAGTAAAGTGACTCTGCTTAAGAAATCCTTTTGTTCAGCCAGTGTTCCTTGTTTTCCTGCCACATTGTCCCTCAAGGGGTTCAACTGGAAGCTCATAGTGACCTCAGACTAGGCAGAGCTCTGGGGCAGTGTGTGTAAGTTACTGAGGGGCTTGTCAGAACACAGACACCGGTTTTGAGGTCTAGAGCAGATGGACAGGGGCCTCTCCTGGCCAAAGGAAGAGCATCAGACAAGAAGCCTCCACTTGGGAGTGCGTCCTAGAGTCCCAGAGTTTGCGAGAATTACTAGACTTTACTTAGACCCAGCTGACTTAGAAGCAAATGGAACTCAGTGATTGGGTCCACTCACAACAGACCGGTGACTGTACAGTCAGGTCCTGGGCCAGGTTGTAACAGTTAGCCTGTCTGGATTCATTTTGTTATATTTTGTCAGTTGGCAGGGTTTTTTTGTTTTGGCCAGGGAGCCATCATTGCAAATTTCCTGATGGAAAAACTTTTTTTTTCCCAAAATTGAATTTTTTAGGGTTGTTTGGGACAGTGTCTTTAAGGGCTGAGCTTCCCAGACAGACAGTCTGAGGGGCATTGAGAAGCTCTTGTTGCTATGTCCAGCCAGCTGGAACTGGACACAGTGGCACTCACTTTAAGCACTGAAAACTACCATTTTCTCATGGAAAATATTGATTTTCTTAATGGGCATTTTGTTAGAATATAGAACTTAGGTGTATTTTTATCACTTAGCTAGTTATAGAGGTATAAAACAAAGAATAAAAATCACAGTCAGCCTGTGCATGAGCCTTCTCTCACTAAGATAGGCTGAGGCCTTGTTCTTAGGCTAAGGCCTTTGGCTAAGCAGTAGGGGCAGCCATAAGCTGGGAAGCGAATGGACACATCCTCACATCCCAAACCAGTCACACTGAAATAAGGTGATATTGGGCTGTTAGGAAGACAATCCTGTTGGGGCCCATCACCACCAGATAAAGAAACAGATCTTAAGACAGTTAAAGAAAACTTAGTTTGATAGCATTCTGTCTGGCAAGAAATCACTTATCAGTGGTTGTGAAACCCTCATTTCTGTATTGTTTTATCTTTATGGCCCCCACTATTCTATTGTTAATCAGTCTGGTTCTCTGATTGTATCTGTCTGCTGTATAATTAATTTTGCTAGGTGTAAGTTAATTAGGGTAGTGGGATATAATTAGTTAGAGGATTATGTTACAATATGTTAGGATTGGTTAGTTACATTTCAGTAAAATTATTGGTTAAGGTATAGCTGAGACTATTACTATATAAATGGTTCAAACAGGAATTAGAAAGGAAACTGGAATCATGCTGGCTAAGGGGAGGTGAAACGGGAACAGGGAACGGGGAACAGGGACACAGGCAAGGCTCTGCGGCATGAGAGCTGGGAAGAGGACATGGGGTAAACACTCTGCGGCGTCAGAGCTCGGACGGGAACACTGGGGAACAGGCTCTATTGGCATATAGAGATAAGCCAAACTGGTGTGAAGGGCTTCTGAATATGCTTGCTTGGAAACTAGCCCCAATAAACGTTGCCTTGTTTGCACTTTGGACTTCTGGTCTTTTGCTGCTTGCTGTCTGAGTGACAAGAACCAGGGAATAGGGTGAAAGGAAAGCCCTCTAACATGTTTTACAATGGAAAATCATTCCAGGGGAAAATTCCCTACCACCTCTACCCATGCTCCTGGATGACACAGGGAGCAAGTCTATTAACACCAATGGGAACACGATTGGCACTTTGCTGGGATATAACATCTAGGCTTACTCAGGCTGAGAGAAGAAATATTCCCCTTAGCAGGAAAGTGTCCACCTGAAAGACAAGAAGAGATGAGCCCAAGCCCAGACTCTAATCCACTCTAGGATCCCAAATTCCTCCAAGTTCAAGAGAGGAGCTTTGGCTCTTAGGTTCTGGATCTGATCTATCTCTACAAACCCCTCCACTAACTGGATGGGCAGACAATGTCTCCATTGCTGGTTGACCCACAGGTGCCCAAACTTTGACTAGCTGCTGGGGTCAAAATGGCCAGCAGTATCGATGGGGCAGTGTACACAAGGCCTGGTCTCAGAGTGGGAAAGCCTTGAGATGCCACCTGAGGCAGACAGGGCAAGAGGCCTGTCAAGGCTGCTTCCCCACTCTGAACTTTAGGGTAAAATTTGGGGGCCTGCATGAAAACTTCTAAGCTTAACTACCAGCTTAGATCTGGTCCGCTGCCACCACTCCCAAATGCTAATTCCCTTCCCTGGGTAGCCTTGAGAGACTCTTCACCAATTCCCTGGTGAATACAGATCCAAACCCCTTGGATCTTAAAACAAGGAGAAATTAACCATCCCCCCCCCACCTCCCACCAACTCCTGGTGGATCAAGATCCAACCCCCTTGGATCTAAAAACAAGGAAAAATCAATCAGGTTCTTGAAAAGAAGGCTTTTAATTAAAGAAAAAGGTAAAAATCATCTCTGTAAAATCAGGATGGAAAATAACTTTGCAGGGTAATCAAACTTAAAGAGTCCAGAGGAATCCCCTCTAGCCTTAGGGTCAAAGTTACAGCAAACAGAGATAAACACTCTAGCAAAAAGGTACATTTACAAGTTGAGAAAACAAAGATAGAAACTAACACGCCTTGCCTGGCTGTTTACTTACAAGTCTGAAATATGAGAGACTTGTTCAGAAAGATTTGGAGAGCCTGGATTGATGGTCCCTCTCAGTCCCAAGAGCGAACAACCCCCAAAACAAAGAGCACAAACAAAAGCCTTTGTCCCACCAAGATTTGAAAGTATCTTGTCCCCTTATTGGTCCTTTGGGTCAGATGCCAGCCAGGTTACCTGAGTTTCTTAACCCTTTACAGGTAAAAGGATTTTGGAGTCTCTGGCCAGGAGGGATTTTATAGTATTGTACACAGGAGGGCTGTTACCCTTCCCTTTATAGTTATGACAAGGCCGAACACCTGAGGTGGGTGCTTTGAGAAAGGTGACGGGCAGCTAGCCACACCCCCATGACACCAAGCAGTTCTGCCCTTGACACATTGGTGACAGTGGCAGCTCTCGGGAAATGATGGCAAACTCAGAATAGGACCCTGGGGAACAACTTCAGTCCATAAGGATGAGAAATGGCCTAAAGCTCCTTGGCTTCAAAAGGAGGAGACTGGGGCCTGCATGATTGCTCCAGGCAGCGCTCAGCTAGGAAGTGTGTGGGAAGGAAAGGCCCTTTTCTATGTGCTGGGTTTAAGAGGAGGGCCGTTTTAAGCCTCAGATTACCTCTCAGTATTGCTTATCTTCACTGAGACCCACCTGCACTTTGATAGGGGTTTTACCAAAGAGTGGAGATCTCCACCCACAGAGAGTCTCAAACCCATATTCTCAGCATTCTGGCAAGGTTCAAGCATTTTACTGATGTCAGATGACTCAGGCTCAGTCACTTTATTAACCAAAAATAAATCAGCCCAGTAAATAAACAGTTACTATTTTACCCAGAATGGGGAAGAGGTTTGCAGCTCACAACTCCCCCTTGCTCTGAATCACGGGTTTCTTTCTGGTCATATTTATAGTAACCTTGTTTACAATAAAAAGAAGGTTCTACACATTCCACGGTATTACCTAGGATTTATACACTAGTTCTTACCAGTTTCTTATCTTGTTTTGAACAATTTCTCCCAAATCTGCAAATTTAGAGATGTCCTGCACTAGCTGTCACTGGTACAGAGGCCATGTTGGTAAAGCATCAACAGAATCATCTGTCTTAGCCTATATTTTTGGCATGTCTCTGAACTTAACCCTGATATCACAACACTACACATCATCCTTTGGTTACACAACTTCACAAAGTACAAAGCCTCCTAGGAAAAGCTTAAAATGAACAAAGTTCTTAGTTACACAGAAACATATTTGATATTACCTATAAAATGGATATTGTGTACTAGTACTGTCTCACACACAAATTTCTCA